GCCAGAACAACTTCCATTTGGGGTCTATAGCTTTAAAATTCACGAAACAGGAAAATATACAATGTATTTTGAATTACTTCAATTCTATTTCCGAGAGACCATGCAGATTTCAAGAGTTCCGTTTCCTTATTTATCCATAGATTCTAGATATGATAAAGGAATTCATATAATTGAGATTTATATTTACTAAAAAAAAAAAAAAGCCAGAGAAATGAAAAAGGCATTTTCTGTTTAATAAAAGAAAGAAAACTGATGCAACTCAGAGTGACAATAGACGTTAAAAATTAAAAAGATGAATTTTAATGAATTTCGAGAATAACGTTCACCTTTTTGAAGAGTAGAAAAAAATAGATGAGGAATATGTCAAACAAAAGTTGGTTTGTTTCACGATCGGATTTCTTCTTCTGTAGCAGAAAGTTAAGACTTGGACAGGGTCAAGGCCGCAAACTCTGATATAAAGAAAACTAACAAATATTTACTATAATTTACTTTTCTAAAAATACAATGTTCAACCTCATCATGTATCTAAAAAAAATACAATTGCTTCGTTGAAGAAAAACAAACAGGGGACAACTCTGGTTCTGGTTTGTACTGCAAATGCAGGTTAGGAGATGGTTCTGTGTCCACGTTGGATCTGCTTCATTATATTTAAACCATGGCTGGAAACAGTTTCACATACGTTTCTAACATCCAAGATACAAAACATATATTCATGAATTGTCTTACATCTACTGCGGTACGAAAAGAAGGTGGAACCCGGGACCGACCCAAATAAATCAATTAAAGTCAATGGACTTGGTTTACATATTAAGATTTTTAAACTGCATTGGTGGCTTATATATTTGCGTATTAGTCACTGATTTTCCTTGGACATCTTTATAAAATTTTTATAAATTAAATTTACAGAAAAAACTTTATGTGTTTGACAATGAATATTTGTGAATGCATTGTAAACTACACTGTACCTGTAGCATAACTTCCGCACAGCTCATGTGAGAACTGCAGTCCAATGATTTTGATCCCTCATATATTAAAAGAATTTTGATTATTTTTTTATTTTCTTCTTTCGACATAAGACAATACAAGAAGAATAACAATAAAGATAACAGCAAGGCATGACAATATGCCAGTAGGAATTATGATGAAGTTTTTGTTTTTTGATCCGCCTCTACACTTTCCATTTGATCGATCATCCTCACTGGACAACATGGCGTCTGACTGGGTCAGAAAACTGGTGGTTGGATTTGTCGAATTATTTAAATTTCCTTCAGTGACATTTCTTGTAATGTTATTTCTTGTTGTCTCGTTCCCTAACAAAAGTGAGGTTAGCTGAGATTATCACACATACATAATACTAATATTAGGCATATAGAGCGTTAAATGATTTTGAACAATGGCAAATACATATATGTTTAAAGGTTCGAATACAGATATAATTATATGATAACCACAATTTTATAAAAATAAAAAAGGCATAAACAAAGTTCTAGTATTTTCAAGATCTACTTGATATTAAATGAATGTATATAGATTATTTCTTATATGTTACCTTTAATGTACATGATTTTTATGCGTCCCTCGCAGCAAAAAGTTGTGTTTTCATACAGAAGAGTCTTCTTGGGACTACTCATCACTGTCATATCATACTTCATGGCAGTGGTACATTGCTCCCAGTCTACTTTTGTCACAATTACGGCTTTATCGATGACACCATTTGAACATTGACTGCACCAATTTGGAAAAGAACAAAGTAGCGGTAGAACAACTTCCATTTTAGGTCTATAGATTAAAATTCACAAAACAGGAAAATATACAATGTATTTTGAATGATTTTAATTCTATTTCAGTGAGACCATACAGATTTCAAGAGTACCGTTTCTTTTTTATCCATAGATTTTAGATATGATAAAGGAATTCATATAATTGAGATTTAAATTTACTAGAAAAAAGCCAGAGAAATAAAAAAGGTATTTTCTGTTTAATAAAAGAAAGAAAACTGATAAAACTCAGAGTGACAGTGGACGTTAAAACTTAAAAAGATGAATTTTAATGAATTTTGAGAATAACGTTCACCTTTTTTAAAGAGTAGAAAAAAGTAGATGAGGAATATGTCACACAAAAGTTGGTTTGTTTCACGATCGGATTTCCTCGTCTGCAGCCGAAAGGTCAAGACCGCATACTCTGATATAAAAAACACTTACAAATATTTACTATGAATTACTTTTTTACACTATGTTCAACTTCATCATGCATCTAAAAAAAACCATTGCTTCGATGAAGAAGAACGAACAGGGATAACTCTGTTTCTGGTTTGTACTGCAAATGCAGGTTAGGAGCTGGTGCTGGTTCCACGTTGGATCTGTTTCATGGGATTTAAAACCATGGCTGGAAACAGTTTCACATACCTGGTACGTTTTTAACATCCAAGATACAAAACAGATATTCATGAATTGTCCTACATGCTACTGCAGTAAGAAAAAAAGGTGGAACCGGGGACTGACCCAAATAGATTAACTGAAGTCAATAGTAATGGATTTGGTTTACTTAAAATTTTTAAACTGCATTGTTGGGTTATGTATTTGCGTACTAGTCACTGAATTTCCTTGTTCATTTTAAATAAAAAATTTATAAATCAAATTAACAGAAAACAAAACTTTATGTGTCTGACAATGAATGGTTGTAAATGTATTGTAAACTATTTGTAGCATGACTCTGCACGGCTCATGTGAGAACTGCAGTCAAATAATTATGATCCCTAATATTTTAAAAGAATTTTGACTATTTTTTTTGTTGTTGTTATTTTCTCCTTTCAACACAAGACAATACAAGAAAAATAACAATAAAGATAACAGCAAGACATGAAACTATACCAGTAGGAATTGTTATGCTAATATTACCTTCTGATCTGCTTCTAGATTTTTCATTTTGCCCATCATTTTCACTGGACAAAATAGCGTCGGACAGGGTCAGAAAACTGTTGGTTGGATTTGTCGAATTATTCTTTTCTTCAGTAACATTTGTTGTAACGTCATTTCTTATCGTCTCGTTCCCTAAAAAAAGTCAGATAAGATTATCACATATACGTAATGATGATATTAGGCATATAGAGTGTTAAATAATTTTGAACAGTGGTAAATACATATTTATTTAAAGGTTTGAATAAAGATATGATGACTACGTTTTAATAAAATTAAGAATGACATAAACAAAGTTCTGGTATTTAAAAAAATCTACTTGATATCAATCATATATATATATATATATATATATATATATATATATATATATATATATATATATATATATAAAGCACAATTTACAACAACTCTTAAACTAACATAACTGCCCTAAGTGAAGAAATATTAATATAGAAAGCACAAAGAAATTCACTTTTTACATGGATACCCTTCCGCCCCAGCCCGGGGTTGAACTCTCGACCTTCGGAATCTGTCTCGTAGCAGTGAAGGAACAGCGCGCTAGACCGCTCGGCTATCTAGGCAAGTCAAAAAACTTGCTTTCGATGCCGATGGAATTCTCGCGGCGCTGCCCTACACTAAACGGTCATTGAGAATAGAAGTGAGATACAGTTATTTGGACATTAGTTTTAACAGAGGATTGTTACCAATACATGTTGTAATGAAATTAATTATTATTTATAAAGCACAATTTACAACAACTCTTAAACTAACATAACTGCCCTAAGTGAAGAAATATTAATATAGAAAGCACAAAGAAATTCACTTTTTACATGGATACCCACTTCCGCCCCAGCCCGGGGTTGAACTCTCGACCTTCGGAATCTGTCTCCTAGCAGTGCAGGAACAGCGCACTAGACCGCTCGGCTATCTAGGCAAGTCAAAAAACTTGCTTTCGATGCCGATGGAATTAATCGCGGCGCTGCCCTACACTAAACGGTCATTGAGAATAGAAGTGAGATACAGTTATTTGGACATTAGTTTTAACAGAGGATTGTTACCAATACATGTTGTAATGAAATTAATTATTATTTATAAAGCACAATTTACAACAACTCTTAAACTAACATAACTGTCCTAAGTGAAGAAATATTAATATAGAAAGCACAAAGAAATTCACTTTTTACATGGATACCCACTTCCGCCCCAGCCCAGCCAAACGGGCTAGCGCGCGGTTCCTGCACTGCTAGGAGACAGATTCCGAAGGTCGAGAGTTCAACCCCGGACTGGGGCGGAAGTGGGTATCCATGTAAAAAGTGAATTTCTTTGTGCTTTCTATATTAATATTTCTTCACTTAGGGCAGTTATGTTAGTTTAAGAGTTGTTGTAAATTGTGCTTTATAAATAATAATTAATTTCATTACAACATGTATTGGTAACAATCCTCTGTTAAAACTAATGTCCAAATAACTGTATCTCACTTCTATTCTCACTGACCGTGTAGGGCAGCGCTACGAGAATTCCATCATCATCGAAAGCAAGTTATTTGACTTGCCTATATAGCCGAGCGGTCTAGCGCGCTGTTCCTGCACTGCTAGGAGACAGATTCCGAAGGTCGAGAGTTCAACCCCGGGCTGGGGCGGAAGTGGGTATCCATGTAAAAAGTGAATTTCTTTGTGCTTTCTATATTAATATTTCTTCACTTAGGGCAGTTATGTTAGTTTAAGAGTTGTTGTAAATTGTGCTTTATAAATAATAATTAATTTCATTACAACATGTATTGGTAACAATCCTCTGTTAAAACTAATGTCCAAATAACTGTATCTCACTTCTATTCTCAATGACCGTTTAGTGTAGGGCAGCGCCGCGAGAATTCCATCGGCATCGAAAGCAAGTTTTTTGACTTGCCTAGATAGCCGAGCGGTCTAGCGCGCTGTTCCTGCACTGCTAGGAGACAGATTCCGAAGGTCGAGAGTTCAACCCCGGGCTGGGGCGGAAGTGGGTATCCATGTAAAAAGTGAATTTCTTTGTGCTTTCTATATATATATATATATATATATATATATATATATATATATATATGAATTGTTATGCTAATATTACCTTCTGATCTGCTTCTAGATTTTTCATTTTGCCCATCATTTTCACTGGACAAAATAGCGTCGGACAGGGTCAGAAAACTGTTGGTTGGATTTGTCGAATTATTCTTTTCTTCAGTAACATTTGTTGTAACGTCATTTCTTATCGTCTCGTTCCCTAAAAAATATATAATATATTACTGTATATATATTATTTCTTATATGTTACCTTTAATGTACAAAATTTCAATACGTCCCTCACAGCAAGAAGTTGTGTTTTCATACAGAAGAGTCTTCGAGTTGCTATTTTTCACAGTCATAGTATATTTCATTGCAGTGGTACATTGTTCCCAGTCTACTTTTGTTACCATAACGGCATCGTCGATGAAAACCATTGAACAGTGACTGCACCAATTTGAAAAAGAACAAAGTAGCGTCAGAACATCCATTTTGGACCTATAGCTTAAAATTCACGAAACAGGAAAATGTATATTCAATGATTTTATTTCTATTTCAGAGAGACCATACATATTTCAAGTGCCATTTCCTTTGTATCCATACCTTTTAGATGTGATGAAGGAATTTATATTTATAATAACAAAGAAAGCCAGAGAAATCGGTTTTATAAGAGAAAAAAAACTAATAAAACTTAGAATGAAAATTGGCGCAAAAAGTAAAATGAAGACCTTTAATGAATATCAAGAATAACGTTCACCATTTTGTAGAGTAGGAAAATATAGATGAGGGATATGTCAAACAAAAATTGGTATGTTTCACGATCGGATTTCCTCTTCTGTAGCAGACAGTTAAGACTAAGACAAGGTCAAGGTCGCAAACTTTGATATAAAGAACACTAACAAATATTTACTATAAATCACTATTCTAAACTAACGTGTCTAAATGCACTATGTTTAACCTCATTATGAATGCATCTAAAAAAAATACCATTGCTTCGTTGAAGAAGACCAACCATGGGATAACCCTGTTTCTGGTTGGTACTACAAATGCAGGATAGGAGCTGGGCTGTATTCAGGCTGGATCTGTTTCATTTTATTTAAACCTAGCTGGAAACAGCCTCACACATGGTCAAACACCCAAGATACCACATATATATTGATGAACTGTCTTGCATTCTACTGCAATATGGAAAGACCGGGGACCCCGGGGCCATTCCAAATAAATCCATTGAAGTATTTGGGCTTGAATTTTAAACTGCATTGATGGGATATGCATGTGTGTATGAGTAACTGGATTTCCTTTGACATTTTCCATAATCTATACATATTACATTGCGCGGGAATATACGCAGTAGGGAATTAGGACTAAACATAACCCATATTATTTTTACGCCACAGCCGTTTTACGCCGTGAAAGCGCAGCACCGTAAGCGAAAAATCAAATTCACGCTCACACTGAACAGAAGGTTCTTCCATTTATTGTTATTTATCCAAAGGATAAAAACGGGAATTTTTGAATTATAAATCTTATTTGAAGTCATCTCAAGTAGTTTGAAAATGTAAATATAAACACTGAATCAGTATTTTTTGAAAGATGTAGTCTCATATCTCAAAGACGTGTGCAAGCAAATTGAGTACCGCGCTAATCCTAACACGCATTACTCAATTTGCTTGCACACACCGTTGTAGTTATGAGACTATATATCTTTCAAAAACAGTTATACAATGCTTAATTGAAGACTGGAATGTAGATAGCATTGTTTACTCTTATACAGAGCGGGGCAGGGCTCTCTTGTTAATTATAAAGATTTTATGCAAACAAGATGTTTGTACATAAATATATTACGAGTATGTTCCTCAGCCTTACCATTATGAATGTAACATACGAGTATCCATCTTCCAAATCTGTTAAAGCAAAAGAAGGAAAACATTAGAAAAGAACAAATAATTTCATTATTGTTCACTCTGATACCGTATCACCCAACTACTAGCATACAAAAATATCAGGAGAATTTATTTTCCATATTATCAATTAAACTAAAAAAATATACTTATGATCCAAATAATCAGATGTTAGTTTGATATCAATTATTCTTGGGACTAACTCTCGAACACCTGTAAATATTCTAATTCATGAGTTTATACTAAATACAATGAAAATTTAAAAAAATAATAAGGAGACAAACTTGTTCTATTAAGACACAATCCCAATTGTATATCTGGTCACAGCTCCATTCAATTTAAATTTAAAAATTGAAAATTACGTAAAGAGTCATGATCGCCTTTACCTCAAGGCGCTGGAACCAGCTAAATACTGTTCTTCTGCATGATTTTCCTATACGAGTATGCTGTTTTACACGCATCTGATTGGGCCAGAACTTATATTTTCTCTACTCCCTCTAAGGGGTTATCATTGGAATGCTATACAGTTTCAAGATGGAATTCATGTTTCCTAAAAGGGTCGAAATTACCAATTTGGTTTATTAGATAATGTAAATCATATAATTAATCCTAATCGACGAATTTTGGGTTATGAACATACTTATTTCACAAAACACATTACAATTTGTTAAAAATGCAAACAATTTTATATACATACACATCTTTTTCCATAGACATTTCAGGGATCCTTTCCTTGTGATAAAGCAGAATGACGTGTCAATAATTAACATTACGAGTTACATTCGTATCGTAATTACTGAACAGTCAAAATAAATTATGGTACCAATAATGCGTTAAGGTTTATTTAATATTTGAGAAAAATTACACGCAATATCAAGTATGTAATACCTTTTATGTATAAAATTTTAATGCTTCCCTCACAGCAGGAATTCGTGTTTTTATACAGATCGTGTCTTCGTGGAACTTCTCATAACAGTCATATCATACTTCATGGCAGTGGTACATTGCTCCATTCTACTTTTGTTACAATAACGGCTTCATCGTTGACAACATTCGAACATTGACTGCACCAATTTAAAAAATAACAAAGAAGCGTAAGAAGAACTTCCATTTTGGAATTTACGAAAACAGGAAAATTCTATATTGAATACTTTATTATTTTCCTTTCAGAGGGACTAACAAGAGTGTCATTTCCCTTTTATCTAATAATATCTATTAGATATGATTGAATAATTGATATAATTAGATTTATATTAACTAAAAATAGTCAGAAAAATAAAAACAAGAGGCCCATGGGCTACATCGCTCACCTGAGAAGCTTTGACCATGCTATTCTTAACCATTTTTTCCCCCTTGTAATATCTATTGTGACGCCATCGTACCCCACAGGTCATAGTTTAGACAATTTGAAATCTACACTACCCCAGGATGCTTCCACCTAAGTTTCAGCTTCTCTGGCCAAGTGGTTCTTGAGAAGAAGATTTTTAAAGATTTTCCCTATATATTTCTATGTAAAACTTTAATTCCCTATTGTGACCCCGCCCACCCCCCAGGGGCCATGATTTGAACAATTTAGAATCTACACTACCCCAGGATGCTTCCACCTAAGTTTCAGCTTTTCTGGCCCAGTGGTTCTTGAGAAGAAGATTTTTAAAGATTTTCCCTATATATTTCTATGTAAAACTAATTCCCTATTATGGTTCCGCCCAACCCGTGGGGGTCAAGATTTGTACAATTTAGAATCTACACTATCCCAGGATGCTTCCATCAAAGTTTCAGTTTTTCTGACCCAGTGGTTCTTTAGAAGAAGATTTTTTAAAAGATTTTTCTTTATATTTCTATGTAAAACTTTGATTCCCTATTGTGGTCTCGCCCAACCCGTGGGGGTCATGATTTGTACAATTTAGAATCTACACTACCCCAGGATGCTTCCACATAAGTTTCAGCTATTCTCGATCAGTGGTTCTTGAGAAGATTTTTTAATGACCCCATCCTATTTTTGTCTTTTCTTGATTATCTCCCCTTGCGAGGGGATATGTCCCTTCATTTTAACAATTTAAATTTCCCTTCACCCAAGGATGGTTTGTACCAAGTTTGGTTAAATTTGGCCCAGTGGTTCTTGAGAAGAGGTCGAAAATGTGAAAAGTTTCCAGACGGACAGACAAACGGACAAAATATGATCAGAAAAGCTCACTTGAGCCTTCGGCTAAAAAACAAGACATTTTCTGTTTAATAAAAGAGAGGGTGAAACGATGAACTGATAAAACTATGAGTTATTTGTGACGTGAAAATTTTAATGAATATCGAAAAATAATATTCACCATTTTGGATAAATTTCTTTACTTGATCTAATAATTTAGAGACATCATCTATCAATAAAATCCATTAAGGTATTTTTCCAAAAACTAAAACAATACACTTTATGGTTTACAAAACGAATTTTGTAGTCGAAAAGCAATGCTATGACGTTGGAAGGAGATTGATCAAAATGAGGCCAAACAAGCTATACTTGGTTTTAGGGCTAAATTAGAAAAGAGAATATCAGTTAGCAAGTTTTCACTCCGATTTCTCTGGAAACCTGTGCCCATCCCTGTGGAGGAGGAAACTCCTTCTAACAACTTTTATCAACAGAATTTGAACACTCTGAAATATAAAGTGAAGATAACAAACAGTGATAGGTTTCATATAGTCGATAAACAATAAATATGAAGTGGGCATAAAACTCGGAGCCTTGGAAATTCCAGAGGTGGATACAGTTGCTAGGAGAAGTAAGCATCCCCTGTGGACCGGTCACATCCTGTGTGAGCCTTATGTATTGACCATGTAGATGTAACATTTTGTAGTAAAACTTAATATAAAAACAAAGCGCTAATAATTGATTTGAAACAAGTCAAAATACGACCAAATGTTGAATACACACGTTTCGAGATTGTAACTCTCCTACTATAGAGGCGCAAAAAAGTATCCATTTCAGCGTGGAAGTGGGACAGGTTAATGCATACAAACGTGCATTACTAAATGAATGATGTTTATGGATTTTAAAATTCATTTACTGTTATACAAAGATAATTATTTTAAGCAGTGATGCATTTGATGATTTCATCAAGCTCAATTATGCATATTTTTACAAATCTATTTTCAATTCAGATACTTGAACAAGAAAAAAAGCCGTCGTAGTCTTTATGAAAAAGTAAAAGATTTCCTTGATTGTACAAACCTTTTCTATAAAGTTAGTGAGCTGTTTGAAGTTATATTAAGGGAAAGAATCAATGTGTCATTTAGATTGCCGACATGCAATGATCAGATGCATGTGTACCGTATTTATTAGAGGTCCATATCTCTTCCTTCGCCTTCACATTAATTCTGTTATTCTCGAGTTGAAGAGTGCATCCTGATATCATGTAGATATGATAACCAGTATATCGATGAAGCAATGTATACAATATATACATATCTGTCCCACCTGTCTGTTTACGCAGCAACAAAACTCCCCTCTTCAACGAAAGAGCGCGCCAACTTGAAGGGAGATAATCTCGAAACTTGCGTATTGAAGCCACAGCAAGTGTTTTTCTTTTCTCTTTTATAAATCTTTGTAAAAATTCATAGGAATATAAAAAAGTTCAGCTTATAAAGGATCACAATTAGTGCTCAATAGAATCCCAATAGTTTTTTTTTATAAAATTTTCTCTGAAAACTACATTAATGTTGTCAATGACGAATTTCAGAATCTTTTTAAAACTTAATATAAGCTTTATCCCGCGTGGCGCAGTGGTTAGAATGTATGCTTCAGAGTCTCGGAGTAAGGAGCTGATCTTTTACATCGCGGATTCGAATCCACGGCGGAACATGGAGACCAGTCTTTTGGATGTGACCGTATAAACCGAGGTCCCGTGTCGCAATTAGTTGTGGCACGAAAAAGATCCCTCACTGTTCAATGATACTGAGTGCCGAGTTAAGATATGCATCCCACCATCCCCAGATAGCAGAACACCGTTGGCCCAATCTTACATTATGGTTCTATTATCTATGTTGGGTTACCTTGATTGGACCAGCAATGGGCCAACAATGGCCCAACATGGAATATTGATAGCTGGTTATGAATAATAGTGCACTAATGTTGGGCTAACTGTTGGCATTATATCATAAAACTATTATCATGAGAGAAAATATTTGTTTGGTGATTGGCATCGGCCCTACGTTGGCCCAATATACCATGAAACTGACTGAGCATCATGGGTAGACAACAACCGGGCTACTTGTAATATCCGCGCCATTTTTAATCTGACACGAGTGTAATGAGACTATACCTTGCATATCTGCATCAACTTTGTAAGTATTAATAATATGTTTGCCTCGGCTTAGCTGAATTAACGTTTAGTTTTTAAACGATATCATGTACAAATCTGTGTAAATCAGACACGGGGAGGTGCTGTTGGGTCAACACTTTACAGATAGCATGCTAACATTGGGCCAACGTTGGGCCAATGTAATCGGTTACATCGGGCCAATGTTGGCAAATAGCATTGACCCAATTTAAGTTTACTCATCGGCCCAATGTTGGCCCGATATGTTTGGCCAACGTTGGCCTAATGTAGAGTGTTATTTCTACAGACATTGGCCCAATGTTGCGCCAACATTGGCCCAATGAATGTGACATTGTTGGCAAAACGTCAACAAGAACATTGGGCCGATGTTGGCAAATTACGTTAGCCGAGTGTCATTTTTCTCATTTGCCCAATGTTAGCCCGATACATTGGACCAACATTGGGCCAATGTGTATAAACATTTAATTGTTACAAATCTGTATATTAACAAATCTGATCATCTCTACAATCAGAAATAAATCTACAACCAATCCTACTTGAAAAATCAAGCTAGCTAAAATAAATTTAAAATTCTTATAATATATCAAAACAAAATAAATTATCAGTGATTAAATCTTTTGTTTCTATACCAGAAAAATAAATGAAAGTATAAAAATGTGTTTTGATGCAGTTAAAACAAT